ACACATTATCACATGTTTAGTATTTTTTGTATTACATATTACAATAAGAAATCATAATTATCACCAAAATTTAATTAGTGATTTGAGACAAATCGGCCCATATGATATTAACTTGTAACTCAGTCACCCTAGCATCGCCACAGAATCAAGTACGTTCGTATGTCCTTTTGATTAACAACAATCACGATTTTTTCAAAAGAGAAATAATCATTTATTTGAATTGCTCAATGAATTTTTATTTAGTCATTGTAGATTGAATCTGATTGCATCTAAATTAGAATATTTAAAACGTGTTTATATTCAAACTCAAGCGAATTTTCCCGAACAACCTGTTGGTATCTACCAGTACCTGGTAGATACAGTGGTAGATATCTACCAGTAACTAAAAACTCAAATCTTTAATACAATTTACTATATTTTAAATAAATTATTTCGTGGTTTTATAAATTTATTAAATCGAAAAGTGATAAACATTCTGAACACGATTTTTTATCTTGCAGTAAATTAGCAGGTCTCACCATTCTACAAGGCAAGCAAGGATTATGCAAAATAAGTAGTCTCTGTTAGAGTTTGGAACCAGTTTTAATACTCATGTTAAACCCGGTTTTAATCGGTTTTAACATATGAAAAATAAAACCGGTTAGAAGAAAATTTTGTATATTACTAATCATACTATATAATAATATTTATCATCGGTGAATGAATTGATGGCGGCACTAGGTGGGTCAAGACTTATTTTTTAAAGGATAGTTTTTTAAAATCAAAAATCCTGGTATGATTCAACGCGAAGTTGAGGCCCTAAAAAATGATATATATGTATCGATCAGAGTTTTTATTGAGTCCATTGAGATGTTCTTTAAAATAAAGTATAGTGCAATTAAAAATAGGGCGTGGGCAATTCCAGAATTAGACTTTATTAAAAGTTACATGCGTGTGAAAAGCATTATATGCACAATCATTCATATGTAACTAGATTGTAACAGTAAGAACTTTAGCAATTTCTGACGGTTCTAATAAAATTCACCAACAGCCATTTCGCCGATAATCTAGTTAACGTTAACTATAAATCAGATCAACCCTAAATCGGGCCAACTTTGTCGGCGAAAATTGGTTTATATCGTTTTTTGATAATAAATAACTGTTGATCTACTGATTAATTTTACTATCAAAAATAACTGTCTTGATAAGATGATTATAATTAGAGGTGCGGACGACATAAATTTTAACTAGTTACAGCTTAAGCTATAACAGTTCATACCACATCACTAATTCTAACAAGTCAAAAATGGTATAAATCAATTTCGCGATAAATGTTTTCGCCGGCAAATTTGGCCTAATTTAGGTTAAGATTGGCTTGATTTATGTATAGTTAGCGTTGGCTAGGTTATCCGAATAAGCAAATTTATTCATTAATTTTCATTATTCGCACACATAGTGACTATATATGGCTAGCTGCTTTATTCTAATAACTATATTTTTATTCGAAATAAGTACAATTTCGATTTCGATTTCTGTTAGTCATTCGGCGAATACCGATCTAAATTATTCGAATATTATTCGAATAACAGTAAGATCATAATGTAACCACGTGATATGCGGGTTAGGATTTGGTTTAAAGTTTTGATCTGTTGGAATCTAGTAAAATCTTTGGGATTCTATTATCTCAAATTACTACAGTCAGACCTCTCTAAATGCACCCTCTATAAGTGCACACCCTCTCTAAATGCACGCTCAAGTGCTGGCCCAAATATATACTTGACCTCTATAAATGCACTTTTTCTTATTATTCTCTATATGCACGTTATTAAGTGTGGTTCCAAGGGGCGTGCATTTAGAGAGGTCTGACTGTAAATGTTAATTGCTTTTCGAAAAAATATTTTTACGTACGTACTAACGTTTGGTGGTAGTTATTTTGAGGCTTAGACTTTTGTATCACAAAATTAGTTAATCATGGGTGTTCTCAAGTAGCTAGCTCCCTTATTGTGATTTGCTTAGTGATCGAGATGTTGCTCAACTAGAGATGCGATCCGTTATCCGTTTTCCTATTTAAAATTTAACGGTATCCGGATATCCGGATTCTTTATAATAATTTTGTTATAAAATTAAATTAGCGGATATCCGGATCGCATCTCTATGCTCAACCATTGTGATTAATTGTAATTAATTGAAGCATTTCTTGTAATGATTTGCAAAAAAAATTCATTGTGCGAAATACTACTGTACGGATTTTAAAGTTCAGCCAATCAGAATAACTTTATGACATCGAAATAATAACTCACTTGGTTTTAGTTTGTAGTTTATTCGTCGACTATTGGAATTTTTATCCGATTCATTGGGTGAGAAGTTTAAAAAGCACAACAATTTGTTCAAGTTTCAAATGAGTAATAACGATAATATCAAGTTTCAATTGATTGTCATGGGATATTGAATTAATAATATAACACTATATAATGAATACGTATTAGGTGAGACACCTAATGTAAATCTTTGTACGTCATTAATAATTAAGGATAAAGTGACGTCACGTGAAACCGATATATACATAATTAACCTTATTTGAGTAAAGATTTGAAATTGAATGAATTGTAGATAAATATAGTATGAATGTAGAAAACTACCCCTTCTTCGTTGTGAATTGTCTCTTCTTTCTAATAGTACTGTAGTAACGACTTGATAAAAAATAACGTTAATGACAATTCCACCGAAAATGAATGCTCTTAACTCCAATCGTTCTTTATCTGAAAGTAGCAACAAAGTGGAATTTTCACAAAATTCTACTTCCACATTTTCATCACCTTCGAGCTCATATCTCGATCTACCTCTTGATCCAAAGAGTTGGACTCCCACTCAAGTCGCTACATACCTTACTTATTCATTGCAACTCTATCCTCCCGAAACTGTATCTGATTTATCACGTTATGTTCAAAATGATCTAATGCTTACAGGGCGTAGATTTTTGAGACTTAAGGAAGAACATTTAAAGCAATTTGGATTTAATGAATCATGGACAAAACTTATTATGTCGAGCGTTAAGGCTTTGAGAAGAGAGCAATTAAGAGAAAAAATATTGTTGAAAGGATATGGAATTGTGGAGGAATCGGAAGAATTGGGGTGTGAAGAATTCGATATGATAGATGCAAATGAAGGTAATATATATATATGAATTGTCTTTTTTATAAATTTAAGAAATCTAATTGCAGGCATCGGTTTATTTCTAAAAAATTGCTTATACAGATTGCTCATCCAAAATATCACCTGCATTAAATTCTTCTTCTAATATTATGCCAAATAATGTAACTTTCTCAGACTTGGTTGCTTATGACAAAGAATTAATTAGACATGAATTATTTAAACGAGATGTTATTAAATTGGAATCAGACAAGAAAATGGACACATCTGAATCATTTTCTATATCATTGTCGTTTTCTCGTGTACTATCTAATGCATTAGAGTGGGCCAAAAAGCTTTTTGGACGCACGACTTACATTAACGGATTTGCACAAGGTACCGTATTTGGAGGAATCATTGTATTGGCATATATGAGAGCGATTAGGTGATGGATTTTTCAACCTACTGTATTTACTAAGCAATCACATATTAACTTTGTTGATATTCACATCAAATTTTTAATAGCATCCCATTAATTATTTAGTTATATAAATTATCGTAACATATGCATCATTAATGAATTTGCGAATTACGCAGTGCGTATGAATCTTATTCGAAAGAAATTTTAATAAATTTTAGCAAGTTCGGCGCTTTCATCTTTATAAAGCCTATTAACTAACCTTTTAAACCAAAATTTGATAGTGTTTTTTTTTTGTTGGTTTCTTTACTAAATTTGGTCATGAGCTCTAATTTTTCATAACGATAATGTCATATTACAGCGCTTCTGAAATCGTGTTATTATGCAGTTATTTATACTGGCATTTATATTCTTAAAACTAAAAACCATAATTGAAAACGCGTCACATGATAATTGATTAAATCTCTTCTAATAGAAGGTTTTTTGAATCGTTTTCCTAAGTTTCTCGTAAGAATCTGATCGATCCATAACTGATTTACTTATATAGCATCAAAAATATTAGTAACTGATATGTGGCTTATATGTAATTACGTATAATTTTTAATAAGCTATTTATAATATCAGATACCGATATTTTTGATTTTAACTAGTGTTCAGTTGTGTTGGCTTTTCCCTTTTAATGATTTTACCAATTTAAATTTTTTTTTTGTTGCGACAGCAACGGAATCGGCTTATGGAGTCGTTAGCGAAAGTTACTTTACGGCAACAAGAAGTAAACTTTTCGTTAATAATACAGTATTTAAATTTCAAAATTTTTTTTGTTTATAGGCAACCTATAGTAATTCTACAGTTGCTATTTCGCACTGAAAATAGCATAGATAATACGAATATGTTTTCGAAAAGAGTTATAACCTTCTCATCAAGATATAGATTATTTGTTTTAAAAAGCTTCAACATTAAATAAGTTAGACCGGTTAGAAATTTGTTGAGAATTCATTGTTTATGTTTGATATGCAAAAAGCGTAAGTACCAACCAGCATCACGTAATCCCGATATGAACCTAATTTGGCGCAAATAGGTGACTTGTGGTGCTTCGATCCGCAATCCGACTAATTCGGATTGATCCGATAATTCGGATTAAATGCGAATATCTTTATCCGTCAATTTTAAACGGATAGATCTGTAATATATTTCTGATTGATACGTAGTCGTGAGACAAAGAACTGAAAAAAAAATATATTTTGCGTTCTAAATTAGTGATAGCTAGAGGTCTGGCTCAACCTCCAAATTACTATTCTGGTTTAAATTTCTCTGAACAGAAGTTTCATTTTCAGGAAACGTCGATGTTACACGGTTGATCCTTCACCCGGTGTGCAACATAAAAAAAAATTATTTTACAATACTGCTCATTCCGCTGCGACTTAGTCGGGCCGAAAAAAAGTGTCGGTCCCGTGATTGTCATGAATCGAAAATTAGCGTTCAAAATATTAGCATATTTTCGATGTTTATCCGATTCGGATGTTCTATAGAATAGGTGGTCAAACTCCGCAACTCCGCTAAGTATCTATTAATGATTACTAATCCTGTAATCATTAACGAAGCTTATTTCTTATATTGCCCACCTATTCTATAGAGCATCCCTATAAATGGTATCTAATAAGATTATTAGCAATAAAACATTTGGATAAATTGTTTTTTTGAAAATCTAAAAGTTCCATAAAATCAACATAATACTCAAATAATACAATATCACCCTCTAAGTCTCATCAATTTCCGGTATTGAAATTAAGAATCGTAGACAACTTGTATTAAATCACAAGTATAGATTTTTCTTTTGTATTAAAAATTTTTTATCCATTTTCTTTTTCACATCGTCGTTTGAATTTATTCTTGCCCGTTGTAATTATTACAGTAACCTTAAATTTTCTAAACGATTAGCAACTTGTGCAATACTTGATTCATTTGACATTGTATAATTAATAAATAGCGTTAGAACGAAAAAATTTATTTTGATCAAAATTGACAATTTAAAACTATAATAATAATCGTCATCATTGTTGGTTAGCGCTTAAGAGAAATCGGTTGTAATTTGTGCAAGAGTAATTTCTTTTCAATTAATTAATTCGGAAGTTCAAATTTATTTTTGGATAAGTCTCGTTATACACGAGCAAAAAAACGATTGTAAAAAATACTCATTGTAGCGCAGAGCGCTATGATCAGCGCGCGAATAGATTAGCGAGATAAGAGATGCTTTTTCGCTAGTCGAACAGAATGTTTTTTTTATATAGCAATTATTTTTTCTGATCGGAGTAATAAAATCAAAAAGATCTAAGTTAAGTATTCCTCAACTTCCCATTGGACAAAACCAATTACATCACTTATCACGGTGGCTAAAAATTTCATGTAGCCATCTAATGCGCCGCAATTAAGAATTAATTACTACTCAAAAAATTTATTTTTTTAAATAATTCTTTTAGCTGTTTAATACTAACGTTTCGCTCTTTTAAGTTTTAGCACTTTCAAATTTTTTAGTAAATAATTTTTTATTAACAATTTCGAGTAATGAATTTGGGATTTGGATTTAAAATAATCGAATATAGGTAAGTAGATCCCACCAAAAAAAGAGTAAACGTCGCAGGTTTTTACGATAAATTTGATATTAGAGTTTACGGTTAGGGTAACAATTTAAAATAGAAACTTGTGCCACTTTTTGTTTTCTACGTACGTACAAGATGTTAATATACTATATATAGTATATTGTAAAACTATTACATAAAATTTTACAGATTAAATATAAATCACATGCGATCTTGCGAAACAATCTAAGTCAACCCGATTTTTCTACGTACGCAAGAACGAACGGACATACAAGTCTATAACTTCTTCCGAAGGAGCTTTCATATTCACAGCAAAGACAATGTTTATGCAACCTCCGAAACCTACTCCTGAAGAAAGGGAAATGCAACGTAGGAATACCACGAGAAACTTTACGTCATTTTTTTTTTACGTTATGGCTATACGAATTGGTTAGTATTTTGTTTGTAAACGCTTGTTTCATACAGTATTTCGTGTTTATCAAAATGTTCCCTGATCTAACCTCAGTTGGCTCCTTTATCTTATAATATATAGCTCCGTTTGTAATTGATTACTTTTCCAAATACTCAAGTAGAACGACCTAATCCCTTTTTTTTTGAATTGACATTATTACATAGTTTTAGTTTGGGAATCGGAATAACAAAAACCCAAATACTGTATATATCCCATTTTGATCAATAGTGTCAAACTCAAATAAAATTTATTAAATTAATGATATAAATTATTAGAACTTTGCTATTTTCATGTTCAAATTGTTCAAATTGTTCAAATCAAGAAAATCGAGAATCTAAAAACGACTAGATAGACGTATAGTTAGATCGAGTAATGCACAATTGATGAAAAAATAATTAATTATAAAAGTGAAAGCTTTTTTTTTTAACTTTTCCGTGCTATTATTAGCAATCGGAACGCAGGTGGCGTCTTTATTTAATGTCAAGTTAAACACTTTAATGCTACGTACATCACCTGTGGGGCAACCCCTCCAGGTGTTCCCTAACCGTCCAGTGCCACGTGTTGCCAAGTCTACCACTTTCGAAAGTGAAAGCTTTCTTTTCACATCCAAAATAAAATTTTGAATCGTAAATAATAAACCTTTCAAAAAACTTTTTATCGAAATTTGAGTAGAATACAGTCGCACTCCCATATATTCACATTATCGGGACCTGTAAAAAGTGTTCTTATATGGAAAGCGTGATTATGCAGAGAGCCATTTTTATATGTTTAATAATAGTTGGGTTTTAAGAAATAAAGTGCTGTGATGTGCTTATAGAGGTGCTTATATGGGAGTGTGACTGCAGACTGTAGTTTTTAAAAAAAAAATTAGTAAATTCGATATCTCATCAGTTATATGGGGTGATTTCAATAATTATAATATTCATATAAATTTTCACATGATAGACATTTTTCAATTATAAATGAAAGTCGATTTGCATAATAAAAAACCAAGATAATGCAAAAGAAAAATTACACGAAGCCGTGTAAAGCCACACATCGCGAGATTATCCGAAAGTCACCTGATTAAACTCAATTATCTCGAAGTAAAAATGGGCTGTTTCTATTGAAATCACCCCATATAATCTCATGCTGTAATTATTAACGTCAATTGATAAATGAATGCCACACGAGTTCCTTGATTTCCCTTATTCGCGGAATCAAGCATATGGACCGAAAAATGATCTAATTCTAGTCAAATTTGCTGATCATTGGCCTTGGTTCAGTTTAAAACTGATAAGCCAAAGGCCAAATAATCAGCAAATTTGACCAGAATTAGATCGTAAAAGTATACCGATACGGGTACAGTATTTTAAGTTTAAGATCAGATACGTGATTTTTTTTTAGGGGGACACTAGGTAACCATCTCGGTCGATATAACGGATGTTCATTTGACAGTCGGTTTAAAAAAACTTCGATGATATTCGATGAATTTCGATATACAAACCTATAGAGGTTGTATTACACCCATATAAGAATAAATTATATTAGTTCTATCAACCAGGTCATGACCGAACGACTAGGATTAATAAGATGCTAAAAATGGTTGATATTTATAATGTAAATATATTTAGTTAAACTTTTATTATTATTTAAATATTTTAAGACTATTTAAGTTTATAAATATTTACTATCAATTTTATTAGTATACGGTAAAGAATTTATTTATCTAAATTATTTTATTTGTATCACCGAATATTTACTGAATTCAAGGTCAATGACGAACATTCGAATATACGAATAATTATCAAACCTCTAAGGATAGCAAATGTTTTAAATCATTTAAATCTGTTAAAAATGGTTTAATACTGTACATTCTGATATAATTATGACCCAAATACATAGTTCAATTTGTATATATTTATGTGTATATATTTAAAGATAATAATTTTATAATAGCATCGATACAATAATGTGTTTCTTTACGTGTGATAATACGTTTGAGAATTAAATAATCACGATCACATTTTTTAAGATTAACCAACGTTGATTTTAGCTGAAACTAAAATTAATCAAAGACAATATTTTTTAGTCTCAGCCAAATTTCGCTGTCAGACAAGACGAGACGTTAAACCTTTTTTTTAACCTGTTTTTTTACTATTCCTATATTTGCAATTCGAAATCAATTGAACTATTTTAATTATTTTTGTTTAACGGATTGAACTTAAAATAATTAGTCGTTCTTGATATCAGCTAATTCACAATTAACGTGTCATCAAATAATTTTGGTATTGAGAATGTCTGAACTGTTTTTGATGATTCTTGGGTTTAAAATGAATGTTTCAAACTTATATAGCTGAAAATGGTCCAATCATTCTCTAAATATCAGTTATATGACTGTATTTCGAGAGTAGTTAGTTCATCTCATGATTTAAGCTTATACTAACTTGGAATTTAAACTAATAATAAACGATCTAAAATACCGCATTAGTTTGACATTCGATAATCATTCAACAATTGACACGTAGGTACTGTACGTACGTACTCATTAACTAGCGAATGATTGGTAAAAGTGGTTTAACTATCCTTAATAAGATTCTTTTTTCTCCCTCGTAATAAAAGAATTCATCATTTAATTGTTCAGTATATCCGAGTATCTGATATGTTAGGGATAATCCCTTGAAAGAATAATGTCAAAATAAGTTATTTTCTTCTAGACAATTATAGTGAGTAATTAGATTCGGAAATATCTTTATCCTTAAGATCTTACGTTTAATTAAAAGTTATCACACTTTTATAGTGAGCAAATAAAAAGTTTAAATAATTTAATAGCACTTATCATATTAAAATGGCGCTTTAATAAAATAAAAATAAAAAATAACAATGCAATATTATTAAAATTTTTTTTTGTTTTTAAGGAAGGCCTTGCTTATTTTATTATATTAAGTAATTTATATAAGTAATTACAGTGTAAAACCCAATTTGTACATGAACAAATCTAATTAAAATTTGGTATGCATTTACTGTAATTAGATAATTATTAAAATATTTAATTTAGACAAATACCATTGGATACTAATATATAATATACTGTATAAGAATTTAATGCAACTCAAAAATTTTTGGTTATATATAAAAAACATAATGATTTTTAATTAAAGTTATTTTTTAGCATAAGCTACTGCTTTCCAATTTTAATTTGTAAAACTTACATCAGCTTTAGGCATATAATTTGTACTAAAAATACATATTGATTATAACTTTAATATACTGAATCTTATTTGAAATTTTAACTAATAATACTTTAACCAAAAAAAATATTTAAAATAAAAAAAAATTTATTATTGTGTTTGAAAATTACTTATATATCAATATATAGTTTTATTTTTATAAATAAATTGTATAAAGTATATAATTGTTGATTGATTTTTCGTAATGCAGTGATGTTATTATATACCAGATTCGTGTTAGAAGGTGATAATAGATCTATATAGAATCAAAAATAGATCACAAATTTATATAAATAAAAATATAAATTATCATTATGGGCTAAAACCTTCATAATAAAACTTATGCGGAACAGTCCTTTTTTTTCATCAATAATCAAATATTTTTTAAACAACTAAGTATGGATATATGCTATTAATTATAAATGGTTTGAAAAGAAGAAAAGGAAAAAAGAAAAAAGATATATATTTATAGTTTACAAAAGATTATAACTGTGTAATTAAAGTGTTGTACTGTAATACAATACCAATAACAATTTGCAGTTGGTTCTATTCCTATAAATAACTTTATTTTATAAAAAGTGACACAAGTGATAAAATGCGCTTTACTGTATTAAGTGCATAGGCTTGCTAAAACTAATTGCTACCAAGATTATGTATCGATCAGATCGGTATGAGCCAATCATCACATGTATGTTAGGAATACTGAAGTATTTAATACCTCATTTTACGCCTTTTTTACAAACATCACTTAAAAAAAATCGATCCTATTTCAAACCTTTAAGGAAAATGATATTAACAAAACTTGGTCGTTATAATTGTTTCGACCCATTCGGTTCATCCATTCGTCGTAGTTCTAACTTATCCAATAATAGGTCATCTACACTTATTTCCTCCAAATCCGATAAAGACCGATTTTGTAATTCATTTTCGTCCTTGTCTTCGTCGTCGTTAAATGGTATAACTCCACAATTAGCTCAGACAATTCCCTCAGAAATATTGATCGAAATATGTCGATATCTTCATCCTGTCGATTTATATTCTTTGGCTTCGGTTTGTAAACGATATAGAAATTTGTTATGGTCAAAATGTTCTACCACTACACAAGCAATCTGGAAAAATTCTAGGCTAAAATATGTTCCAAGTCTCTCGATGACACCACCCGCTGAAATGTCTGAACAAGAGTATATCTGGTTGATGTTGATATTAAACAAATGCATGTTTTGCGAAGAGAGAAATAAATTTGAGTTAACGATGTATTGGGAATTCAGAATGTATTGTTGCCAAAAATGTTTGGATGATAGAACTGTTAGGTAATTCTTTCTATCATAATAAATATTGTTTAAATAATTCTTTTTGTTTGTGTTTAAACTAACAATTTAGTAAATTTGCTTTTGCAGCCGTCATACTCTACTTAATGAATGGAATGTTCATGACTTTCTTTTATCATGCTTCATACAACTTCAGCGTAGCTCTAACCCCCGAGATCCACCTTTGTATTTAATTAAAGATGTTAAAGCTACTCTTAATAATTATAATCAATTATCGAAAGATGAAAAACCTCAATGGATTAAAAATTGTGAAAAGAACATTTTGAAACTTCAATTAGAAAATGAACAATATAACCATATACATGATCTTACAAGATATGACCATACCGAAAGATTAGAAAGGTTATTAAAAAAACTACATGAATTTTACACATGGCCCAAACATAGGTCAATGTAGATGTAGACAAATAGACAAAGGTAAATAATACTTGGCAATAGATAAATTAGCGTTAGATTGGGTTCTAAAAAGGGTTGAAATTTTTGACCATTTTTCCTACCTTATGTTTATCACTTCTCCCCATAAATAGACATTATTAATAAGAAACATAATAATATATCATTACTTTTAACGTACACGTATGAATAGTAGTAATCAAAAATTAAGGTGTTATATAAATATTAATTTTTAAAGACTTAAAAACAATTTTATTACAAAAATAATTTTTTACGATTTGTTTCGTATTTTGTAAGTTTTTTTTGCTAAACATATCTCTATACATGTCTGTACTTTTTTTTTTTCTCTTTAAAAAAGAAAAAAATTTTTCATATATAGATAAAACATGTATAAAACGTGTCTGGGGGTTTTTTTTTTTTTAATGAAATCTTAGAATCAATATTCGGTGTGTTTATTCCATTCCCTCGTCTTGTATACAAAAAATTTGTTTTAAATCTCGTTTCATACTTGTTTTCATCTCGCGTAATGGAATATTTTTGAACATTTATATATACATGACCAACTCTGTTATTACTTTAAACGCGATTGTAATTATAAATCTCCAAAATGTTTTTTTAATTTTAAATTTACATACAGTACATCACAAAATTTACAAAATTTATTCACAATTATGTACTGTAAATACATAAAAAATTGATTAAACATGATTGAATGGCAACAGTTTAATCTATTTTATAACAAAAAAAAAATTTTTTTCTAAAATTAATGTTTTTTTTCAAGTGAAAAAATCTTCGGGGGAAGCTCTTTGCAAAAAGCCAAGACATATTCTTTAGGGTTAACTTGAATAAAATCTTCGATATGGTAATCATAAACGTTATGAAAATGAATCTTATGTCTTGAACTTTCCAAATGCTTGTAAATTCCTTTAAGATTAAAAAACCTAGAATTTGAATAATATGATGTATTCTCAGCACATAACTTACATTCAAATAAAGGATTTCCTTCCAAACCTCGGATAATAACTTCTTTAACTGTCAAAAGTAATCCAGGTTGATTTTGAACGTTTATAGCTTCTTCCGTAAGTTTTGGTAATATCTCTTTTAGGAAATAGATATCGTCCCATGAATCACTGTTATTTTTAATTGGTGGATATTGGTACGTTGGACAATGCTTGAGAATATATTGACGTAAATCTAATATATCCATAACAATTTTTGGTTTATGACAATTGTCGATACGACTATATTTAGTACCGGTAACAGTGGCGGTTAAAACCATGGGTTTGGATTGAGTAATTATATTTACTCCAACTACTAAAGGATTTAAAGATCGTTTCTTTAAGTTGCAAGCTGTTAATCCTTCTGTCATTTGTCTGATTCCAAGAGTACGAGGACGTGGCCATACTTTTAAAACCCATGCCCTTATTTTTTCTTGTGAATCATTTAATGCTGCTTTTCTAGCCTTAATTTCTTCTTGTGAGGAGACTTTAAAAATTTCTGCCGAATTTGGTGATTTAATTATTTGCGATCCTTTGCAGATTTCTTCATTCTTCTTCCAAAGTTGTATTGCCTTTTTTGCTTCATTAAATGTTTGATCTTTGGAGGATTCTCCTACAGTAGAAGAAATGTCCGATGTCGACTTTTGTGATGTTGGCGTAATTTTGGTTACTGTGTCTTGAATAGTTTCAGAATTATTGTGGTCATTGTCATTTTTTTTAATGGATCCGATAAGTTCTCTAAGGCTAATGCTTATTTCTGACGGAAGTGTATCTGAATTATGACCTTCATGTGATGTAAAATCAATCAAATCTGGATATTCGCTCGAAGATTTGGTCGTTTTCCAATCGTGGAAATCAGCATCGTGATAAATAGCCGTCTCTACAAGTTCAAATTGTAACTGTGCGTTAGAATGTTGTATAACCTTGTCGACATTTTGTCCCTGCAGTATCTTGGAACTATCGTTATTCATTTAAAGTTATGGGTTAACGTTTTTAAAAACAATTGTTAGCGAATACCAAATCCTTGGGAAACTGTAGAAAGAAAAAAGTTTAGCCACGCAGATCACAAAGATACTTTTTTATCTAAAATGATCGTCATTCATGCACGTGATATTTATAACGAATGCATACAAATTAAGAATGATATTATAGAAGCATGATGACAAAAATTGTTACACGAGTCTTTATATAAGACTATTAATTTATATAAAGCCTTATATAAGTCTTATATATAGAATTTTATACATCCTTTTGGCTGTTTAAATACTCAGAATTTTGTGCTCTATCAGCCTATTAACTTTTTTTTTTTAGTTAATATGTAAAAAAAAAAATCCATAACCCTAACCCTAACCCTAATGAGTGCCGCCAAGGGAAAACCTGTCATCGGGCTTTCAATTATATCTGTACCGGACACAACCTATTAGGGAATATGTCCGGTACAAATTATAATTGAAAGCCCGATGGCAGGTTTTCCCTTGTCGGCACTTATTATTTTTTTTAATTTAAAGTAGCAATATCGAAATTTCTATAGTTAAAAACCTATGATGTTTTTTGGGCGCTTAACTTTTCGTATAAAAGTTTGGCATTAAGTGGATCAAGTGGATCAAGTGTTCCACCAACTTTCATTAGAGGCGACTCTGACAATGCCAGTAATACGATAACAATACTACCGTAAACTGCCGTATACAAGACCCGGATCTAATTCATTTTACCAATTTTAAAACCTATAATTAGACCCGTGGATCTCTTGTATGGGTGTGGATCTGATAATTGGGGGTTTATTCTATTTTATTAGTTTTTTCCTATTTGTATACCCCGGGTCTCTTACATTTCACCAAAGCTTTATCCCATGTTGTAGACCCGGGTATAGTCTGATATCTGGGGGTCTTGTATCTGGCAGTTTACGGGTATATATTTTTTGACTTTTAATTGAATAAATGTTTCAAATTTCACATGAACAAGTAAGATTAAAATCAATCGTAAATAATAAAAGTTATTTTAATTTCGGCCAATCAGAATTTTTGTTGATTAGCCAATCAAAACAAAATATTTGTTAATAATGATTTAAAACTATAAAATTTTTATTTTTTTTTAACTGTATGTAATATATAGTATTCAATGGGCAAAAATAAAGCACCTATTTTGAATGATGATTACGTAGGTAGTGGTACCATTGTAATATTATATTAGCCCACTCACAGGAAAAATTTTTCCTCGGCAGTGTGGAGAATATTAGGCTATAGAAATATGTTCAATTCTATGTGTTGCTTTAGTATCACATAAAGACTTGTTTGTGTGTTGGAGTAGCTAACCACACATGAATAATACTTTATTATCATCTGACGGCGCATACGCTTTTAATAATTATATATAATTGGGAATTAATTTGAAATCTCCTACAAAACCGTCTATAGCTTACATAAAATAGGAGCGGTAAAAATTAATGAAGAAGGGCCTCTTAATCCAAACCGAATTCAAAAAAATATTAATGTACTAAAGGGTAAACTTACCAATGGTTCAGCACTACTTAAGAAGAATATGGTAGTACTTACGAGAAATTACTTTTCAGTGTCAATCAGGTTTCTATCTCTCAGTTGTACTGGAAAAACCCTCTTGCGAGCCAAGTGATAAGTGATCATTCAGATCTGGTACGACAATTACCAGTTCGTCAAAAGGAACTTTTTATGATGAATACTAATACTCTTTTAAATTTCAATGAAAAATTTGTTTAACTCATTAATTTATGCTATTATTAGAAACCAAAAGATGATATGGTCCCTTCAAATTATACGAGATAAATGCAATGAATTCGTAGAAGACTTTGTCAATAAAGATATGGATACTTTACCAAGAAACTTAAGCATGATGGATCATGGAAAGAACCAGATGAGAAGCTTTCAGAGGTTGCATCAGGAATTTGCATACTCTTAATAATGTATGGAACAATCCCGCATTCAGCCCTGAGTTTGCAAAATTGCAAACCGAAGATACTTACGTGACCAATATAGTAGTACCTGCCATTCGGGCTTCATTAAAGGTTCTTCCTTTTGAAAAATCTACCTTTGTCAGCACGTGAATCATCAAAATTAAAAAATGCCATCATTACAAACTCTTTTTTAGTGCAGAACTTCAAAGTTCTGCCAGTGCAGATAGACAAGGTGAAGGACGAGGATATTATGTTTGTGGTAAATGTGGGGAAAAAAATTACGAGCTCGTATTCTGAATACTCATGTCTGTCTTGCACGTTATAGAAAGATAAAGACGATGAAATAAAGCTATGGCGTGAAGCTAATGACGGAATGTACTGGGCTCACAAATCAACTAAGCCTGATCAAGATGAATTTGGAATCGTCGCGATCCAAGTAGCAGGATCAATAATATGATTAAACGTTCTTATTAGGGATGTGGCTAGCGTGCACCACTTGTGCACCGCTATTACCATCTCTATGAAGCAAAGGTTCCTGTGAAACATTCAGATTCATTCATTGTATAATCTTACGAAACATTATAATTATTAATATGTCTTTACTATTTCATGCGCCACCAGCTAGGTCGAAAAGAAACAAAAGTAGTCCAACAGTGGATTCTAACTAGAATAGAAAGATATTCCTGTAGCAATAAGGATTACATGTATCATTTTATTTACTAATTGTTCTTTATATATTCATAATGAGAAATAAAGATTAAATTTATAACTGTACATAATCTGTATGTATTTTATTATATGGGATCTTTGCTAGGAAAATCACCCTTCGGGATTTTCCGATCGGGCTAATTCGGAAAAGCTTAGACCAGAAT